GTTCCTTACAGGAAAGGGATCTTGACGCCAGAATATGTGGAGAGAAGCGGCCTGCGTCCTCCCAACTTGCCAATAGCGACAGAGGGGTCGACACAGTCGACGCCCCCCGCTATGCGCGCAGCGCCCAGACCCAGAGGAGGCAACATGGTCAAGCCACTGAGGGTATTGACTTGGAACGCCGGGCACTTAGGTCAACAGCAATGGGCTGAGCTTCGCACCTGGTTGCGTACTGCTTCAGATCAGTATGACGTGATTGCCCTGCAAGAGACGCACTGGCAGGAAAGCACTGAGTTTGACGTTGAGGGGTGGCATTGTATAAGCTCAGCCAGCAAAGGCAAGGCCAAAGCCCCCAAGGCAAAAAGCAAACCTGCGCCAGATCACAACTCCACGGCACAGCCAGGCACACAACCACAGGCTCACCACGTTCATGATGACAAAAGGGCAGACGGTGTTATGATATTAACAGCCCCGCACATTCCCAAAGCCACCATTAGATGGAGCGAGCATCAAAAAGGCAGGGCTGTAAATTAGCTCCTACCCTGTTCTCCCTGCTGACAGGAAAGCTGTTTCGTGAACTCGCTGAGGTTGTAGGCTGGGATCGCGTGATGCACTGCTTGACAGGATACGCAGATGATTTGACTGTTCATTGCAACATCACCAGCTGGAAAGACCTAATGCAGGCACACACCATGATAGCTGATCTCCTACGAATTGTGAGGAAATACGGCTTCAAGGTGAACTCTGACAAATGTCACTTGATGGTTAAGTTGATGGGCACTGCTTCTGCCCGAGCTCAAAAACTCTTCAGTAAAATAAGCATTGACGCCCAGGGAGTCAAACACCGCGCATGGCGAATAGGGAGTACCAATGCCCAAGAATCCTTTCCACAATCTTCATCTTTCAAGTATCTTGGAGTGTACGTGTCCTATGGTAACCAGGAGAAGGCGACGCTAGACTACAGATTGCAAGAAGGAAACGCTAAGCTGCAACAGGTCCGAAGATACGTACACAACCGAAGATTCTCGGGACCAAAAAGAAGATTGAAGATTTGGCAAACTACCGTCTGGGCAACAGTCTCAGCAGGCCTGGTTGACATAGGACTCACAGCGGAGACAGCTCAGCAACTGCGCAGTTGGTATGCCAGAAAAATCAGAGCGGTCCTCAACAAACCCGTTCATCTCACGGGCATATCGACGAAACAGTTGTACGCTGACTTTGGAATTAAAGATCCAGTCCAACTGCTGTTGGAACGCCAAAGCAATCGAGTCCGATCGCTAAGAAAAAGACAGGAATCCCAAACAAGTCCAGCTGCACAGCAAGCGGCTCACAAGGATGCACAGCCTCCGCTCAGCAACCAAAATGCAGCGCTGCTCCCCAAGGCTCACCAGTATGCGCAAGAGGTTCTCACTGAGTATGAGACCTTGCTGGCGGCAACCAACGCTGAGGCAGAAACAAAATATTGCTGCAGGCATTGCTCCTTTCAAACTTCAACCGAGCAAGGGCTACGTATACACGAAGCCAAAATGCACAGAGACAAGTTGGATCGATATGTCCCAACTGATTTCCTGCCAGAGCATTCGAAGGACGGACTACCAACATGCGCAGCGTGCCACAAGCACTTTGCTCTTTGGAAGGGACTGAAGGACCACCTTCTCTCCGGAGCCTGCACAGAGCCGGAGACCTTACGCAGAATCGATGCCCAGCACTCCGAACTGCTAGAAAAAGCAGGTCTGACCGAATCAGTGCATCCCTGGTCACGCGAACACTTGACCAGCACAGCTGGAACGCATACCGTCACGCAACTTGCTCGGCAACCAGCTTCTAAGCGCTTTGTGGACCATTGTGTGCTCTGTGGATTCTGGACACCTGATCACACCAAGGTCAAATCGCACTTGCATCAGGAGCATCGCAGGATCTGGGATGCCCTGCAAGAAAGCACCACGCTACAGTGCCAGAAGCTCGGGACCGAAATCCTCAAAGATAGACCATGCCCCTACTGCAGTAAGAATGTTACTGATAGGCGTAAGCACCCGGCGCAGTGTGGAGTACTCTTTCAAATCCTACTAGGCGACTCAGTGTTGCAGATAACCAGGACCACTACGGGACCACTGCAGTCATTCTTCAAAGCAGCAAATTCCCCAGTGCCATCAGCTGCCAAGCCTAAATCTCTGCCCTCTGCCGGAACAAAGCCCTCCCCCCTCGACAGGACTGCAGCGTGTGCTTCTCCTCCCCTCTTTTCCTCTTCCTTGCCTCCTCTCTCCTCTCCTCTCCCACTTGGCTCTCGTGCTTCAGTTGCCACGCAGGAAGCGATCCGGAGAGATTCTTCCCATGATTCGAGCTTCTCCCACTCCTCTTCTCTAGCCGCTCTTGCGCTCAAGAACACCTCTAACTACTGCTATGTCAATGCAGCTATGCAGGCTATGCTAGCCACTACCACTTTGGATCCATCACTGCGATCACTTCAAGCGCTAATGAGCCTACTCTCTAACTCGGCACAGTCCAGTGCCGCATCCGCCCTCAACCTTATCAACTCATTCCCGCTTAGGAGCCTGCTGCCAAGATGGAGATTTGATGGCACGCAGCAAGACTCGGCAGAATTCCTGCAAAGCTTCCTGGCAGCTGCTTCTGAGCTCCCTCTAACGCGAAGATGGGCAACAGTTGATCTGACCACAGGGAGTTTGGCGGTGGAAGGCGGACCCCTCATCATGCTATTGCAACACTCGGCCAGCAAAGCCACTGCAATCCTTGATTGACGAGTGGGCTTCGGTGCTCCCAAACACAACTCTGCTGGGGCAGCAGAAGCACGCTATCTTCACAGTGGCAAGATTTACAGGTTCGGGAAAAACACTTCCCCATCACGGCCAACAGTCAAGAGCTCCAGGTTCCCGTACTGTATAAGGGCTCCATACGCACCGAAAGGGCATACGTGCAGTCCTGTGTTTTTCACATTGGCTCTACCCCGCACAGCGGCCATGACCGCACTATCTGGAGGTCAACACCGACGTCGGAGTGGCACCGACCGATGACCACCGGCGATCACTGAAGGCAACGGACTCAGATCAAAGACAAGTCCGTCATGGTTCATACATCTTCTTTTTGACATTCCCTGAAGCATCAAGTGAAGATGCAGTAATCCTCTGAGCATCACTGGTCGCAACTGGCCAGCACTGCGACCAGAATTGCAGCACAGCTGCTGCCCCCCCCCACTGTCAGCGCTCGATAACCTCTCACCGCAGATCGCTGACTCAAAGACAGCTTCTCTGTGAGCTTTTTGGTAGGTTTTGGGGTTTCTTGGGGTCTTGGTGTTTTTCTTTTCGGGTTTTTTTGGTGCTTGGGTTTGCTCCTCCAGTGCAATTCCCTCTCTTTTACCCTGGCGCCTGGCCCGTAGCCCACCGTCATGATCAAGCAAGAGTTGTACGCTGCGGCAATAGTGAACAGCACGTGGTATAGCAGGCTCCAGAAGTCGTCCTGGGGAGTGCGCGTGTTGTGGTTGGTAGTGAATGACAGACCGCACCCATGGTGCAGCGCGAATCTGCAGAGCTTTGGCTATGCATTTGCCTCCACAGTCCTGCAAGGCGATTGGCCGACCTTGCCCGCTAAATATAGGACCTTGCCCGCTAAATATATGACCTTGGCCACAAAGTCATAACATTTATATTGTATATGAAAGAGTGGTTTCGGGTTTAGGGCTTAGGGTTGAAGATTTCGGATCTAGAATGCCTGGCAAAGAGAGGTGACCTGAAGTCGCCACCAGTTCCATGTTGGGGCTTGTTGTCGCTGCTCTGCCATGAGGGAGTCGGGTGCAGGGTTTAGGGTTTAGGATTTGGGGTTTAGGGTTTAGGGTACCCTCAGGGAAAACCTTTCCGGGTACGGGGTGGTTTGGATGGCTTTGGCAACCACACAATCCATGCTTCCGTCCATAAGGTCGGTATGAGACCTTGCTCCAGGTTTCGTCGGTATGCCTGCAGTAGCGGGCCTTGCCAGAAGATGTAACAAATACTTCCAGACAGCTGCTGGGGCTAGGTGCGCAGTGCAGCCTTGGCCGGCTTAAGTAGCTGCAATGTGCATCGCAATTCGTGTTCCTCCAATCGTATCAGCGGATCTTTGCATGGAAGGGGCACATCTAGCGGCCTTGGACAAAAACCTCTTGGCAAAAAGTGGATAGAGATGAAAGCTCCTGCTCGTTGGTGAGCACATTGGTCATCTCCGCGTAGCTGCACGCGTCGTCTTTCCTGCTTGGGTGCAAGTCTGCGAATCACAGCGCACAGTCCTTTCTGGTCCCCTTTTGTCGCGGCTTCCTCCGCAAGTTGGATTTGGTCCAAGTAGAGGTCCCTACGCCTTCGTCGACCATCTTTCCTGAACTTGGAGTGCAACTGCTGGAAACGACATTGGTGACGCCAGACCCCTTAAAAGATACTGCATGTGGTCAGTCATCTGATACCATGTGGCCTGTTTGCGTGCCGCTCTTCTTTCTCGCCACATTTGTGCAACTGTTACCTTGGATTCCGTCATTTGCCACGGCTTACGTCTGTCGTCTTGCTCAACCGGAAAGAATTCTTTGCAACGCACTGACAGCATGTCATTGCCTCCGGCGAAGGATTCTGCGTACTGAGGGATTCGGTGACCGCATGCTCAAAACTCTGGAACGCTGGTAACTTGTGCTGCGCGGCATGCAAAAGGTCTTGTCGCGCATACGAATGTTTGGCTGGGGGGGGCGGTTGGTAAACTTTGCACGGGATAGAGCCCTGTAGGCACAGATGCTTGCCTCCTTCCCGCCACTCAAAAAGCTTGATTTTTGGGTCAGGCCACAAAGTTCTCGAGCGTGGATCAGCTGCTTTTCGTCTGGTGACAAAGTCAATCTGGGATTCCGCAATATCCGAATAAAAAGTTCTGGATTTCTCTGGATCTCCCCACGTATTCAAGGCCACGAGGTTGTGTGTTTCCAGTATGGCATCAAAAGGACGCGGTGGCCGCAGTATTCCAGGGGTGTTGGTACACATTTAAAAAACATCAACATGGTGATTGGAGAACTCCAGTTTGACGTGTAGAATTCTGCCCGGGATGATGGCCGCATAACGGATACGATCAGATGGAAGAAGTCTGCGAGCGATGAGCACCATAACGCCGCTATTCCTATCTGTCGAGTGTCCCGAGCTAACCACGTACCATGGTCCATTCACGTATATGTGTTCCAGGGACCACCCCGTTTCTTGAATGCAAATCACATCGTACTGGTGTTGTTTCATTTGCAACCAGGACATCAATTCATCGTGTGCATCTGTTGAAAGCATGCCAACATTGTGCGAACAAATGCGTAGCCGATTGGACAAGCTCTGGGGTGAGCGCGTTGGACTGGTTCGCGTTTTCGGTGTCATCGGTGTGGTGGCGATGGCTCCTAGGGACTGGGCAGTATGCCATCTTCCGTTGTACCATGTTCCTCCAGAAATGCCGGCTCTGTGCCTGGCTCTCCGATAAGCTCGCTTGGCAGTCCACCCATGGGTCATGCCATCTCCATGTTGAGGGACAGCGGTGGCCGCTACTCCCATTTGTTGACACCTGTACACAATGCCCATTACTGGTAATGTGCTGACAGCTCTCCTCAACATTGCCCTCTGGAACAATGTGGAAAAATCTGAGTCGCTCGCTTGAAGTTGGTGTCTGGCCCCTGGCTTCGCCCGGAAGCGCTCATATTGGAGTCTGTGAACAGGCTCCCGCGACAGTGGGGCATCTGTCGCAACCCTCACCCCCGACGCGTCACACTTGACACGTCGTCCGGACTTGGGACCGGACAAGCTCAAGGAATGAAAATCGAAAAGGTCGAGAAAAAGTGTTGTTTCCTGCAAGTGGGGATTGCGTGCTGGTATGTAGGATGCTACGGTGTCGCTCCAGACAGGTTGGAGGGTGGCCTTGAAGGCGTGTGAGCATAATGACCTCACGAGTGAGCCATGGGAATGCATCCATCGACAGGTATGGGACCAAAAGCACATAAGCAATGGCAAGAAGGGACTGCTTGCCCTCGGCCTGCGATGCCATGTCCGTATTTTCCATCGGTGCGTTCTCCATCGAGACCTGTCAGGACTAGGAGCTACTCGTGGCTGGAAGTCATGGTTGTCATTGTGCATTCTGGGCCCCCCTTGGTTATGGCAAGGCTGTTTATCCAAGCACGCAGGGTTCAGCATCGATAACGGATGTACGGTGGGGAGGTCTGGTGTACCAGGTACCTCAGGCATTCGGCGGGCACGCCCCCCTCTTGCTCCCCCTCCGCTGCAATAGGTGCATCGGGTAAGGGCAGTGCACATATTCAATACCCGAAACTGGGCGTCATTGCGCCTTATGAAGGTCTTCAACCAGCTGCTCGAAAAGCAGAGCTGCATTCTTTGACACAAGGCTGGGCTCATTCGAACTGGCGTGCGATGCTGATTTCCCTGTTCGGCGGCTCCTGATGGTGATATGGGCGAGGGTGCACGGCACACACAACGTTTTTTAAAAGGTGCACTTACATACCCAGATGTCGCAGGTACTACACAGCCAAGGCTCACACCCGCGACGAACACCACTGCAGGACCGCTGAGAGCTGCCGACATACACGCCGGTATTTTGAGTCAGACTTGCGCTCTGCTTCTGTCTAACCACCCATTTGCCCAGTCCGCACCCGCGTGCGCAGCTACTCAATACAATCCGTTTCGAAGCTCTGGTTCAAAAGAGCGCTATTGTGTGTTGTGCCACCTCGGCCACTCTTGGCTACAGGGGAATCCCCCACCATGGCAGAGGAGGACGAAAGCAGCCCCGAGGGGGCGCATGAGCCAATCGATGAGGAGGACGATGACGCCGACGGCACCATGCGGGAGATCATGGAGACACCTACCTCGCGGAGATCTCGGACACGGACTAGGTCCCCTGTGGCGGAACGATCTTCCTCGGCAAAGGCCAGCGGCAGTGCTGCCAAGGCAAGCGGAGTGGGAGGCACTACCAACGACTCCAGCGTGGGAGCAAAGGCCAAAACCTCGGCGACTGGCGCGGAGACGACAACGAGTGCGCCGGCAGTGCTGCCAAAGACAATGGGGGCTGCCAAAGACAATGGGGGCTGCACCATGCATGCCGGCCGGGCCTCCGCCTCCTACACCACACAACCCACCGGGGATGGGCGGAGGAGGCCGACCGCCGCTGGGAGCAGGCGGACCGCCGCCACCTACCCCGGCCAAGGGAGCCTGTGGGGTGCTGCAACAGGGGATCTACACCGTGGTCTGGGACCCCAACACCAGCGTCACCTGGATGTCCCTCGATGGCTTCCCAAAAGGCAGTGTGCCGCATCAGGTTATGGTGCCACCGCCAACTCCTCCGACACAGGGTGGGCCAAGCAGGCCAGGCGATGCAAGCACTCCAGCTGCGTGGGACTGACCAGCATGGGCCGATGCTCCTTACTCCTTGCTTTCCTGTACCGTGCCAGCTGGAGCCAAGAGAGCGACAGTGGGCTGCCTCACAGGGATTGAGCACCTCCGTGTCAAAACAAGTCAACAGATTGCAGATCAGTCTCACGACACTTTGCTATACCATGCAACTACACACTCGCCAGTGCGCGCGCAGGAAGATATCAAAACATCAGTCCCGACCTTGGTGGCCGCCGCCATACACAGAGACAGTCATTGCGGCTGTACCTCAGTGTGCACCCTTGATTACTCAGGCTGGGGATGTGCGGCCCACCGCGCCCCGGAGCCGGACTCCACGATGGATAAGAACAGGCACGCCACGCCTGCTCACATGTGTGCCCAGTTGCCTGCCAGAGATTGCAATTCTCCAAGTTCAGACAGCATACCACCGGACCCTCTGCAGATTCTACTCAAGCCGGCCCATCCCTGTGATAGCTTCACGCGTGTCAATGGGGAAATCGCCTGCTGCAAAGGCACGTTCAGCGACGAGGCCACCTACGAGGTTTCGCAGCCCGGCACGGACACCTGCCTGGGAATACCCCGAGCCGATCGAGGAGTGGCAGCCGCTGCCATATGAGGAGCTCCGACAATGGTACCAAAACCACTGGAATCGGCGAAGGACACCATGGAAGCCCCGCACACAGACCTCCTACGGCAAATCATCCAGCTCGAGCAGTACGTGGAGACGAGTGCCGCCTCAGCCACCCATGCCTAAGAGACGGGGGGCGGGCCACTACGAGAAGGACCTGGAGGGCGACGTAGGTCAGCCCGTTGGCAACCCGGACTCGGAGCCCAAGGTGGCAGATCCCCAACGAGCAGAGCCAGAAGCATCGTCATCCTCGACACCCGGGAGCAAGGAGGTTTCCGTGAAGGTGGACCCGGCACCAAGCAAGGAGATGGAGATGGGCGAAGAGGAGAGTGACCTTCTCGTGGACAAGATGATTCAACTTGCGAAGACTACGGCGACACGTTTTGGGGTCACCAGCGAACAGCTGCTGGATGCCATGCAGATGACCTGGCTCCCAGCACTGGAGCAAAAGCTTTGGCGGACTACGGAGACGTGCCTCTTGTGCTCACACAGTCCTGGCAACCTGCGGGAATGGCAGCGGCATTTGCTCACCAAATCCCACTCCCGGATCGCCAATGAGGCAAAGATGACGTGGTACCACCTCTACTTGGTCATGAGCATACACGATGATAGAATGCACCCCGGTCTCTCTATATCCAGGAGACTTCCATGCAAATGCCAATGCGAATAACCAATCAGCATGCTCTTTCGGCACTTAGTATCGGTCGCAGTTCTCGGCTGCCTCCGGTGCAGGAAACGCTTGCGGCTGGGAGCATACATGAACTCAGTCTGAGATTCATTACACACTGCAAGCAGAGTAGCGGTGTCCGCTGACCCCGGCCTGTTCCATGGCGAGTATCGACCCGCTCCCATGTATGGTTCAGAAACGACGCATGATTCGAGAAAGGCTGGCGGATGTGCATGGGGTGAAGACAAAGCTCGATGCCACAAGAGGGAGATTGTCATGCAAGCACGCAGCAAGGGCTTGGGTTTTTGCTGTCTGAAAAAGCGACCCTCCATGTCAATGCTATGTGTCTCCCGTACAGCGACATCCATGTGTGCAACTCCATCATATAGGCCAGTATCGCTCTCCTCAGCGCTCAGGGATTTTGCGAGATCCTGCAGCCACAGTGGGTAAAAGCACAAATGTAGAGCGGCCCAACAGCTACTGCATTCCGTAAGCTCGTCCCGCCTGGTCGCGTTCTCCGGCAGTTGATCCGATTGCAGTATTGTGGCGATGTGCTCCATGAACTGGGCTAAGGCTTCTGCTCGATCCGTCCCTCCCCGTTGTGTCAGCACCGCATGGATCGTGGACAGGACAGTGTACGCCGGTATTTGCCGTGCAGTGTTCCTAAGTGCAGAATGGAAATCTTGCTCCGACAGTGCTCGCCCCTCACCGGAAAAGTGGATCCAGCATATTGCTGTCAAGGCATGTAGCGCCCCTTGAACATGAAAAGTGACCATAGGTGCAGTCTGCGTGGGCGGGGCATGTTCGGTGGAAGTCTGTGTGTCTGGTACCGTAGCGTCGCGGCAAGTGTGTGATGTTGGTGCCGTAGGTGTGTCTCCCGGGCAGATCAGCGGGATGGGTGCCGCAAGCTGTTCTAGGACGGGAGTACTGAAAATGTTCGGCACATTGTTCTGTCCTCCCGGGTGCGGTGTCCGCCTACCCGGGTTGTCCCCCACTGCTGTCTTCCCTGGAGCCGCATAAGCCAAGGTAACATAGAGCAAAAATAAACTCACAGCCAGTCTCCATGTGTACAATCGAGAGAAATGCATTTGGAGTTTTGCACTCATGGCAAGCAGCTACAGAGCTACGAGAAAGAAGCGAGGACACTGTGGCCCCCCAAGCAACACACAACAAGAAAAAGATTCACTTGAGCCGGGGGCTTCTGGGATTCGGGCGCTCTAACCGAATAGTGTCTGTGCGCGGCTGCTGCATTGCTCGGAGCGACTCCTCCTCACAAGGAAGGTCCTGGCACCAATGGTAGCTGTTCAAGAAGATAGTTAACATAAAGACAGGTCCCGGCCAAGGAGCAGAGCGCTGATCATGTAAACTCTATCGGCTATGACTGTGGTGTTTCGACTATGGCTGCATGGAAGGGTGTGCTGTCAGAGTCTCGCGGCAATTCTGGCATCCGCACTTCTGTGGATTACTGACATTGGAACATTTTGGGCCAGCCACAGTCCCCTGATTGAACCAGAGCTTGTTGTCGAACGCTTTAGCCATTGAGAGTATTTGAACGGCTGCTGTATTGCTCAGAACTGCTCCTCTCCTCAAGAGAGAGTACCGGCGCCCGAAGGTGCACCCTTACTGCTTAGAAGTTTTAGCTGAATGTTGGGCCAGCTTCCAAAGCAAAAGCAGCTTGTCTATGGCTCTGCTTTCCTGGTGAAATTGGTGCGGCACTCGTATTGCTGTAGCGCAGGCTGTGCCCGCTGAGATGAGCTGCAGTGCAGTTCATGTCACGACGGCCTGACACTGATAGATTTCAGCAACTGCCTTTCCACCGTCTTTGGACCTGAGCGCTTTGCACCTGCGCACCTGGCAGTCCTACTGGCATAGCTGCTTGATTGGGACCTTAGACCTGGGCACCTTGCACCTGTGCACCTGACCTGGGAGTCCTGCCAGTCTGGCTGCTGGATTGAGACCTTGGACATGTGCACCTGGGAGTCCTGCCAGCCTGGCTGCTGGATTGGGACCTTGGGCCTGGGCAGCTGCATTGTACCCCCAAACCCTAACCCCACAACACTTGCCCTGGATATGAGCCAGGCTTTCGATAGAGTGGACAGAACCAAACTCAGCGAGGCACTTTGCCGCACAGGAATGCCAGCTGAGCTGATCAATACGATCATTCAATGGCACAATACCATCCAGTATCATCTACAGGTGGCCGACCTCACGGAGACCGTGCATTGTGGAAGAGGACTGAGGCAGGGTTGTACACTATCCCCCACATTATGGGTGGCCATCACAAGCCACGTAATGTCAATGATTGGGCAACATGTGCCGGAGGAGTGGGTTCGAGATCAATTGACTCTCTTCGCAGATGATGTTCTTGGGCAATGGACGTTTCATTCCGAACGGGACTTAACTTTTATGCTGCAATGCATGGATGCCATTTTCAACGTGTTGGAAGCATTTGGCATGAAGGTGAATGTCCAGAAATCGTCGCTCCTCATTCAAGTCAAGGGTCGAGTGGCAGCGGAATGGTTAAAGGCGCGGACGCGAACGGTGAAGGGGGTCAAGACATTTGTCACGGCAACACCCCAGGGCAGAATTCTGTCTATCCCAATCGTGCAACAGACCAAGTATCTCGGCATCATGCTAAGCTACCACAATCCAGCGAAACACACAGTTGCTTATCGACTGAGACAAGCAGAAGCGCAACGTCGGCGACTACAAAAAGTCCTACAAGGGAAGCATGTTCTGTCGATTAAACAGCGTGTCCAGCTATGGAAGGCGTGTATCTGGACTTCTCTACAACATGGTTTGAACGCTGTGGGAGTTGGATGGGAGGAGCTTAGGCTGATCCGTTCATGCTGTGCAAGGCAACTCCGTGCGATTTCGTCCAGCCCAGTCCACATAACACATGAGAGCACGGAGGCACTTTTTAAACGACTTGGTTTTGAGGAGCCGCACCTTTTGTTACAAAAGCGGATGCATACACTTTCCACCACTTTGACGAACAGCACAGACCCAATGATGAACATGACTGCGCTCATCAATACGGTTCAACAGAACCAATTGCAACTTGAGCAGGCCATTCGACATTGGCAGAATTTCAAGATTCGACAAACACCTGATGCCACACCAGACCAGGGTACACTACTACTCCCTGGAGAGGGCGGGATGTGGCTGCAACCTGTCGCTACATCCAAAGGTGTTTTGCCCGCTCAGTTCATGTGTCCTCAATGCCTCCTGTTCTTTGTGGATATGAGAATGCTGAAGAAGCACCATGTCGAGTCGCACGGCGTCCCCCTTGAACCACTCCTCCGCAACTTTGACCGTTTTCTGCACAGCAAAGATGACATGCCCACATGTCGACACTGTGAACATGAATTCCAAACATGGCAGGTGCTACAAGGTCACATCTTGGACAATCACTGTTCTACTTTTTGGCTGAAATGCCAGGACCCGCAACGTGAGATTGAGGACACCTCGTCTCCAGGCCACCCGACCTTCGAACAAACACAGGCGGGAGATTGGAACAGGACCAACAGAGCGGACCCTGTAGCGTACCATGAAGACCTGCGCACTTTCCTGGGAACACATGGATGGCCTGCTATTGTACAGCTCAGGTCCATTTGCATGCACTTGAGGTCGCATTGTGCAATTTGTGATCAGTGGACACATCCATGGAAATTGAAGTTGCATTATAGAGGCAGCCACTCCACTATCTGGCAAGACTATGGCATTATGGTTGACCAGGACTGCTCACTGGTTCGAAGGCAAGCTGTGACACCTTGTCGCTTCTGTGGAGCGCAAGTCCGTAATGTGGTCTCGCACACATCTAAATGCCCTACTATTTGGCAGGTATGCTTGCTGATGCGTTTATGGCACGATGAACAAACTATGCGGCCTCTTGACGCGCAGCAACAGCGACGACACGTGCTACGGCTTGCCAGAGAGCGCCAACGCCGACAATCGAAGGCGCGTAAGATGCAATTATTGGCGGCAAAAGAGCCTCTGTTAAATCCACCAGTGAGCAGTGACTTCTTTCCGCATACACCCGAGCTTGAATCAGCCCTGGTCCTAAGCGCAAACTGGATGCATGTGTTGGAGGACGTCTCGTGGTGTGAACAAGCTCGACACCAATGTGTTCAATGCAAAGTGCCCACTGCAGACGTGCGTGAGTTCATGCAACATTGCGCTTTTGCACATGAAGGGTTCTGGCAACACCGACCTGATTATGTTCACAATAGCATTTTGCTCAATCAAGCTGCGACACCTTGCTGCTGGTGCCACGCTACGACGCACAGGCCAACATTACATTCACAATATTGCATGCCAG